GGGAAACAACCCAGTTTGGAGCAGGCCTGGGACTCACTTCACCTCTGGCCTCTTGCTTACCACTTCAGGGGACTGTGGCTCAGCTGAACTGGTGGCCAAGAGAAGAGAGGCCTTCTTTTGGGTTTTTGAGGCCTCACAAAAATGAAGTCTTTCAGGGTCCTGACTGGAGCTTTCATGATTCTGTCTGCTGCCCAATCTACCAAGAGAATTCTTTGTGTCTCAAACTATTTTACTCTCAAACATCAGTCGTGAAATGGAGGTCAAACTTAAATCACACAAAGGCAGTTCTTTCTCTTTCCCTAACAGAAACTGCAGAATTATGTAACAGATCATCTGCACCGTTTGGACACCGTCTATCTGGTGCTGAAGTCGCATTCCTGCGGAGTGTGCTGCCTCTCTCCTGGACCAAAGGTAGGACCAGTTTATGGGGCTCTAAAGGGGCAGCATTGGGACATCCTGAATAAGTGTGGAACAGCCAACAAAACTTGGAACCAGCCCTGCTGTGCCAGCTCTGGTGCTCAGTGTGCCCTGCTCCCCCCAGAAACATCATCGTGCAAATCGGCTGCTTGCCTCATAGCTACAACAGAGTTCCTTTGGGTCTGGCCTCTTAACAACTTAAGCAATCCGTGATTGATGAGAAGGAGGTCTCCCCTGCCCCGTCTAGTTTCTAGCATCTATTTGCCCACCTGGCTATTGCTTTCACCCATCTGTCCTAGCCAGTCCAAGCTGGTCCTTTCCTCTCTCCACTTTCCACAAAGTATGGTACCATGGACTAGATTTGGATTTTTTGAACAAAGTGGCTTGCCCGATGCCCAGGTTCAGCTCAGCCCACGCCAGCCTCACATGCAGCCGAAGTCTCATAGCGCTGCTTTCAGGGCTAGGGCGGTTAGGGAGGTGAGTGCTTGGGAAGGGGGAGGAGGCGTGTGGAGAGAGTGGGCCAGCATGTCTCTGCAGCAATGACAGCAGCAAAGTTGGGGTGGGAGTGAGGTAGGAAATCAGCCAAAAGGATAAAAGAAAAAAAAAAGAAATCAGCCTGAAATAAATAAAGAAAATTTAAAGAAAAAGGGGGAAAATGGAAAAAAGATGACCGAAGAATCAGAGGAGGGAAGGTAGGAAAGCCAGTTTCTCAGGGGTGCAAAGGGTAGAAAAATTAAAGAAATAATTAGGGAGGGAAGGGATCAGTAACAAAGAATGGGGAAGGAGGGAGGAAGGAGGAGAGGGGAAAAAGGAAAATGAGGAGAAGAGGAGTTTAAATGAAAAACCAAGGGAAACAAAGAATACCTAGGCATGTCCGCATCAAGAAACTGCCTGCGGAAACACAAAACATTATATGGTTAGTGTGGGTTCAAATGGTCGGCGGCGGGACAAGCAGGGGCAGCGGCGGGTGGGCGGGCAGGGTGGTCAGGAAGGCACATTGGAGACGAGGTTGCCCCCCAACCCCAGGCCCCTCCCAAGCTGGAGGGGAGCATAGCCAAGCCTTGGGCCCCCTCAGTTAGGAGGCCATGGCAAGGAAAAGGGAGCGGGAGCCTCCGGGGAAGCTGGGCTGGCAGGAAGGAGCCACGTAGCAGAATGCAAGCTGAGCAGCCCTGGTTTGGCAAGGAGACCTGGGACCTCCTTGGCCTCTTGTTAGACCCAAGTCCCCAGGAGAATGTGAACCCTGTTCTCCCCCCAGGCCTCGATTCCCCCTGGGGCAGCCTGATCTCAGAGCTCAGCACAGTGAGTTTGGGGGTAGAATCATAAAACCTTGGGCTTGGAAAAAACCTTGGAGGTCAGGTCCAAATAGCATCTGGGCAGGACTCGCCTACACAATTTCCTCTACAAGTGATCCAGCCCCCGCTTGAGGATCTCTACTGTAGGGAGAAGCTGCTGTCTACCGAGGCAGCTCATTTACCATTGGACAGCTCTGGTAATTAGCAAACTTGAGCTTGCCTTGAGCTGAAATCCATCCCCATAACTCAACTCTAGTCATAAGCTTGCTGCAGGCAACGAAGGTGGACGCTAGAATTTTATTCATTATGGAGAAACAGAAACTTGTGATACCCTGGTCAATGGCAACACTGAGGTGGCATTGGCCAGCTCCAAGGGGTTTTGTGCCTCCCCCTAAGACTTTCAAGATAGGAAAGGTCGTGAAGGAGACAGAGCTTAAGGGGTCAGCTCATCCTGGGACCTGCCCTTTGGGATTAAGATCAAAGATGAGCAGGAACCAAGCTGCAAGTTGATGTCTTTTGGGGAAAAACAAGTGGTTGGTTTCATTTAAGCCCTATAGTCCAGCTGTCCTCTCTGTATCCTCTGTCTCATGGCTTCCACAAACCAGTCAGAAATTGTGGTGATCAGGAACCCAAACAATGAAGCCACAACCCAGCCTGGCACCAGACCAAACGAGAGGAGGACTCTTCAATGGTCTGAAGAAATTCTTCTTTCCTGGGTCCTACTGAAAACCACTTTCCCTCTTATTTCTACCAAAAGGCAATATGGTTCCTGCCTCCATTCTTTCTGGCTTACTCATAAGATCATCGGTTTCGAGCTGGAAGGGACCGTAGAGGCTCTTAAAGTCCAACATCTGCATTTTATGGGTAAGGAAACTGAGTCACAGAGAGGCTAAGTGACTTGCCCAAAGTCACAGTACAAGTAAATGTCTGAGGAGGTGTTTGAACTCTGTCTTCTTGACTGCAAATGCAGGAGTACAGGGTGTTCTCCAGTATTCATATGGCACCTGCCTTGGCAGAATATGTATGTGAATGTATTTTATGTGTAGATATAAAATGTGTGTATGTATATATGCACATATATGAATGTGTGCATAGTGGCACAGAGCATATTTCAAAGTCCAGTTCAGCTGTGAGAACACTTACATAGTTGTAGGTGATCTTGGTTCTTGAGAACACGAATAAGCCCATTTTCCCATACCCCGAGAGAGCCATCAAAGGTTGTCTGGACTGTCTGTTCCTTTCTCTCCTTCCCTGGTACTTCTAGGAACAGCCCTGAGTTATGGCTGAATGAATGTTTATTGGATTGAGTTTAATTGAATTAATAGCTTAGGAAGAGTCATCCCTGTGAACTCTGCTTGTGAGGAGCCAGACCGAGAGAGACCTGCAGTCTCCAGGTTCCCAATCTGGGTCTCCCCTCCCTCACTGTGCTGCACTGCCTCCTAGCAGCTCTTCCAGTCATTTTGTCAGGAAATTGCAAGCAAGAACCTTCTTGATCACCAGACCTTTGTAAAAGGGAAGATTTCCAAAGAGGATCTGAGTCACTGCTTCCTGCTTCCTAGCAGAAGTGAATTTGGGCATCTCGACAAAGAGGTCAGAAAATAGAGAAAATAGGGATCTCCTACAAACAGCTTTTCTGTTTTGTTATGTGATAACAAGCGTTAGGTTCTCATTCCTTTCAAAGCATCCCCAAACTGCAAAGTGATCTCTGCTGTGCACATGAAGTCCCTTTCCCCAAAAGCCTCTTATGTAATGTTACCCTAGGAGATGTTCTAGCTGTTAGCACCAATGAAATCTTCCTGGACCTCCTTACCATCTAGGCTAAGTCTTTTTTTTTTTTTAATTTTCTACTACCAGGTGTGGCTGCCTGAGACTCTCTAACCATATACTATGTTTTAGAACTTTGGGATCACTTAAACAAATGAAAAAAACAATTCCAGTCTCAACCCCACCTACCTCATTTTCCTGTAACTCCAAAGAGATCTTTTATTCCAATTTACCAAAAAGGTTCAAAACTGGACTGAGGCCAAACACAAATGATAATGACTCCTAAAGGAGAAATCTTTGGAACACTAGGCAGGGTTCCATTAACATGGACTTAAATGTTTCTAGAACTAGAGCTTTCTGTGCATGACTTCTGCTGGGGTCCAAGTGTCTGTCTCTTTACTGTCTCACTTTTGTACTTCTATTCTTGATTGATTAATCAGTCAACAAACAATTATTAACTGCTTACTATGTGTCAGGCTTTCCATTATCCCATGTTGACTCTCTATTCAAGGAATGCTTTCAGTAGATCTTTTAGTAAAGCAAAGGACATATTCATAATATAAAAAGCACCCAAGTTCCTTCCTCCAAATTATTCTTAGCTTCCTTCAAAGCCCACGTCACATGCCACTCCCATCCCCTGTGGTCAGTGCACTCTCTTCAAATTCTCATACGTATACTTCTCTGTTTACATGTTGTGACCTCCCAATAGAATGTAAGCTCATTGAGGGCAGGAACCATTTCATTTTGTGCATGCCAGGCACATAGTAGGTATGTTTAGCAAATGTTTGTTGATTGATTTCTCAGCCTGTCTCTCCATCCATGCAACCTTATACCTTCTTGATCATCTCCCTACCTCATGTCAACTGGAGCTGCTTCTGAGGACCAGCTCTTGGCTGCTGTTACCTGGTTCTCAGTGTATGGATAGAGATGAATATGAAAATTCCTTCTGACACAGACCATTACCACCAAGGGTGATCAGAAATGACTGCAGAGCCAAGCCAGCTAATTGGCAGTATGCTATAGAATGGGCTGATCAGCTTTAGAGTGTTAATAAAGGAGAGATGCTAAACAGGCATCGGACAGAAGGGCAGTGCTGGATTGGGGCAGCAAGTTGTTAGTATCCCATAGCCTCCATCCTCAACTCCGCCTCCTGTAATCCCTGTCCTCCCACACCAGGTGCATCCTGACTTCCCCACCCCCAAATCACATTGTATTCATTTTGCATTTTTTAAATAAGTCTTTGTTTTAGAGGTTCCCCTGCTCAGAGATCTCCTGCTGTATCTTCTGGAAGGCAGACAACCTACACCTGCAGCCTTCCTCCATCTGAAAGCAGTAGGAGGTCACAGAGAAAGGAGACCGTGGTAGCAAGGAGGCTGACGGGGTGACTGATCCCCTGTCAGGGAGTGAGGGGAGCATCCATGATGCATGCGATCTTTGACCACCTCCAATGACCAGGGATGCTATTCAGAGGGGGTTTAGAGGTTGAGAAAAGAAAATCAGGCGCTGATCCCAAAAGGGAAAACTCACCGATCGTCCTGAGAAGGCTGGACATAGCCTGACGAAAGGATGTTGAGCGAGAGAATGTTGGGATCAATGAGAGACTCATCTGTTTCTGGAGTGTTCCGGATTCGACCTAGAGGATACAATAGAAGCTCCAGTCATCTTAGGGAAGAGTAGGCATAAAGGGATGGAGCCTTCATCCTCATCGCTGCTCTTGACTAAATGAAAGAGATGACGTTTGCCAACACTGTTTCTAGGGATCCAAACCGACCCTGAGCCAGATAGCACAGGCTTAGATGCTGCTGGGGTCCCTCTAGGGACAGTGCTGAGCCAGAGGTTGTATGTAGAAGAAAAAACTGCATCCGTTCAGGTGAACGTAAGCTCTTTATCATCTGGGGATGCCTCACTTTTGGATTTGTACTCTAGCACCTGGAACAGTGCCTTACACATAGTAGGTGCTTCATAAATGTTTATTGGATAGAATTGGGCCCACCTCCCCTTCAACCTCTTTGAGTACTGGAAGTGCGATTACAATTGCATTTTAAGAGTATATAAAGGATTGTTTTTTCCTAAGACAAGAGTTTAAGTCATCACCAGGCCAAGGCTCTAATCTAGTTGGTGGGAGGTACAGGGCCCGAGTTCAAATTCTAGATCTGATACTTACTACCTCCATGACCTTGGTCAAATTGCTTACTCTCTCTGAGTCTCAGTTTCATTATTTGTAAGCTGAAGTGTTGGACCAGATGATTTCCAAGGTTCCTTTTATCCCTAGATTTATGATTCTCTGATTCTATGGTTGTGATCAGGCTGTAAACAACGAGCATTTCCACATCTCCAAATATTTTGCAGATATTTTCCTGTGAATTCTTTGTGGAAAGGCATAATACTTGCATATAACTGCCTCTATATACACACATATAACTATAATTACTGCATTTTGTAGGCAGTGCAAACCTAACACAGAAATAAAGTAGGTAAAGGCAGGGGTGGGCTGGTACCATAGTCCCATAAATTCTTAGCCTCATTCTAGCCTTCTTCCAGGCTTTTACATTGTATAAGATTGCTAGTTGGCCTCAACTTAAGAAAAACCAAAATACCAAAAATCTGGAATGGATCTGATTCAATCCAATCCAACCAGCATTCATTGAGTGCCTACTATATGCCAGGCACTGATAGAGGTGCTTGAGACATGAAGACAAAACATGAATTTGTCTCTGTTCTCAAGGAGCTCCCATGCACACAGATAAATTAGCAAAAGCTGATTTGAAGAAAAGAATCAGGAGAGGCTTCCTGCAGGAGGGGGCACCTGAGCTAAGGCTGGAAGGAAGCCAAGGGCAAAGAGGGGGAATAAATTCAGGTCATGTTGACATTACAGATCGATTCTCTGCTTTACAAATTAATCTGCTGGAAGTATTCCTTTAACAAGGAAGTATCATGTTATGCTGCATGGAGGGCTGGATTGGAGCTAGGAAGAACCAGGTTTACATCCTGGCTCTGAAGTGGGTAACCACGCTTTACCTCTCTGAGCCTCAGTTTCCTCTTCTATAAAATGGGGACAATGATATTGATAGTACCTATCCTACAGAGCTGTTCAGAGGCTCAAATGAAATAATAAATTTAAAGTGCATAGTAACCTTTCAGACCATCTGCTATTATTATTTAAATAACAGCATTCCCACCATATTTAAATGATTCTTCTCTGACCATTAGGCCATTTGACAGAAAGGGAGCTGGGAAAGAGATGCTTAAAAGCTAAATACTTGGACAATAATAATGAAAATTTAGGAAAGGAAGTAAGTATTTAGTAAACACCTATATGTGCCCGGTACTGTGCTAAGTGCTTTACAAACATTATCTCATTTTGTCCTCACAACAACTCTGGAAGGGAGATGTTATTATTGTCCTTATTTTATAGCTGAGGAAACTGAGGCAGGCAGAGATGAAGTGACTTGCTCAGGATCACACAGCAAGAAAGTGTGCAAGGCTAGATTTGAGCTTAGGTCTTCCTGGCTCCAAGCCCAGCATTCTATTTACTGTGATTCCACCTAGGAGCCCATACAGTGCTTTTTAAGGTTTATAAATCACCCTTTTCCTAGCAATGCTGTGATATAGGTAGTGTGCCAGGGCAATTATCCTTTTTGCAGATGAGGAAACTGAGGCTCAGAGAAAGTAAATGCCTAGTTCAGGTTATACTAGCTATGTGACTCTAGGCAAGTCACTTTACCTCTGTTTGACTCAGTTTCCTCATTTGTAAAATAGGAATACCTACCTCCTTTATGTGCACCTACCTCTCAGGACTTTTGTGAAGGTTAAATGAGAGAATATTTGTAAAGTACTTGGTATGGTGCCTGGCATATAGTAGGTGCACATAGATGTCAGATTCGGGATTTGAAACCAGCTCTCTTCCCACTCCAAGTTCATTTTCTATCTACTATTCTATCAGAAACATAAAATGAGAGTGCAAAAATAGTACTTCTTTTGTAAAAGCTTGACTTTAAACTTGAGTGGGATGCATCCTTTGACTGGACAATAGGAGATAAGCTAGTAGCTACTCAGCATGGACAGCTCCCCAACTTACCCACAACTAATTCCCGCACTTCTTTCCAGCGGATGTGGCTGCCAGTCTCATGCACCAGGGTCACAGTGATCCTTCTCTGGATCCCCTGGGAGTCATCAAGAAGAGAGAAGCGTGAGAACAACAATTACAACTCACATTTCAACAGCAAAACAATGTCGACAACAACCCTGAGAAGTAGGCATGCAGGCATTCTCATCATCTTCTTGTGACAGGTGAGGAAACAGGCTCAGGGAATGACAGAGGATCTCAGCATTGGAAGACAGCTTGGTGGCCATATGGTCCAACCTATCCCATGATGTCTGCAGTGTGTGGTCACCTAGTCTTTGCTCAAAGCCCTTCAAAGGAGGAACCCATTGCATCTTCCAGCAGACCATTCCACTTTGGGATGGCTCTCACAGTCAGAACATTTTTTCCTGATGTCAAAGCCCAAGGCCATTTCAGATGAGTCATTATGTAGCCAGGCTTCCCTTATCTTATACTTTTGAAGTTGAATTCTGAGCTCCAGTATAAGACATAGAACTCTTATTAAATTTCATCTCATTTGATTCAGCCCAGTACTCTAGCCTACAAAGATCTTTTTTGATTCTGACTCTGACATCTAGTGTATTAGCTACTCCTCCCAGCTTCACGTCATCTTCAAATCAGAAAATCCTGCTCTCTCTGCCTTTATTCAAGTAACTGATAAGAACATTAAATACTACAGGGCTAAAAACAGATTTATGCCATCCAGGAGAAAGTCACTTAGTTGTTATGGCCAAAAAGGTTAGTAGGAAGCATGTACGGGTTAGGGGAGGGGAAGATAGTGGGTAGCTCAGGATGAAGACATGTAAATACCTGATGGAGCAAGAAAGTTCCGAGGCACGGCATCCCTCCTCGGTGGTCCACAACAGCTGGAATGTAGCTGGCAAAGAAGAGAACATGAAACAGTCTGGCACATTTTCACAAGCAAGTGCCCAGAGGAGCAGGGGATTATAGATTTATAGATTTAAGGCTGGAAGGGACCTCACAGGTCATGTATTCCAACACCTTTATTTTAGAAGTGAGTAAACTGAGTCCAGAAAGAATTGATTTGTCCTGAGGTTATATATATTCATATATACATACATACATACATACATACACACATATTACATATGTATGTATATGAAAACCTCACTAGGATAACTACAACAGCCAATAATCTATCACTTTAAACTCATTTCTGATTTCTGACAACAGCCCTGGGACCACTATAGCTACTCTTAACATCTCCTATCTTCTGACCTAAACCCATGCTCTGGTACAACCAGCATCTCCTATATTTCCTCCTGGTAGGGATGAGTGCTTCCTTTTCATGAGCCCGTCAATTAGCAGGTGAGCTGAAGTGGGTCATTCCCTGGTGTATCATCCTTAGCATGTTGACCAGGAGATCAGTTGGTTTAAAGCCCAAGGAAGCTGTCAATTTTGGGGGGGCACTTTCATAGTTGGTGGAAGAGGAGTAAGACTGCTAAGCCAGACTGCTTCACTGTTGTTAGTGAAGAGGAGAAAGAACTTTTCCAATGCAAGCAGAGAGCTTCTCAGGGCTCAGCTTCTTGTGTCTAATAAATGTTTACCAAATCAAATAGAAGGAAATGAGTAAGCTATGTAATAATTTGTGCATCCTAATTTATTATGCATCTCTTAATAACATGGTAGCTCTTTGATGTTGGGTGGGTCTTGCTTCTCATTGCCTTTTCTATATTCATATATATATAATATTTCTGTTCTATATTCTAAATTCTATATTTCTATCCAATCAAAGAAGTGATGGTGCTCAATCAATCAACAAGCATTTATTAAGCACCTACTATGTGCCAGACATTATGTTAGGTCCTGAGCATACAAAGGCAAAAAGACATAGTACTTGTATGAAGGAGCTCATATTCTATCTAGTCTCATATGTCCGTAGCACTTTCAGATTTACAAAGAACTTTCTTCTTAATGGCCTCACTATGTGGTGGCACAAGACTTATCCCCATCTTTTGAGAGAACTGGGGTTCTCTTGCTCACTGTAAGTGTATTAAGATTCGGATTGTGGAAAGAGTTCCCATTGCCAAGATCACAGATTCATCATTATGAAGTCAGAACCATTTTCCCTTTGCTCTACAAGTCAGTAGAATGGGGACCTAGTGGTTTTCCCAGAATCCCTAATAAGAATACATAAGATAAGAAAATAAGAAAATTAAATAAATTAAATAAAATTTTAAAATTTAAAAAAATTAAAAATAAAACATTAAAAATTAAAGAAAATTAAATTAAATAAAAAAAAATAAAATAAGAAACACAACTCACTCGCCATTGGCTTCCAGCTCACAGATTTCGAAGTATACCAGCAGGTCATATTTGCAGTGGCAGGGTCCAGCAGTGGGCCGGGTGAGGGTGCTTAGCTTGGTAGCAGGCACTACAGAGAGCCACAAAATGAAATTGGATGTTACAACCAAAAGCTTATCCAACAATTTTAAAGCCAGGCCCTTTTCTTGGCACCACCCAGAAAAGGAATAGAAAGCAGGATTAATGTAGAGTCTCACTTGCAGTATGCATGTGGGTAGAGGAGTTTAACTATTTGATTCATTTATTCAGCACACGTTTATTTTTTATAGTTCTATAGAGCTTTGTTAGTTTTTTTTTTTAACACATGTTTGTTAAACTCTGTTATTAAATAAGGCCCTGTGCTATGGACTGAGGAAGAAACCAGGATACAGAAGGCATGGGGTTCCTGTCCCTCAAGCAGTTATAGCCCAACATAAAGTACCAGGTCTTTGAAGGCATGGACCATTGTCTTCTCCTTCTTGAACCTATAGCTCCCCATTTTTTTGTCCCCTCAGGACAGCCCAGCGCCACTCTGCGCACAGAACATACTCCTTTAATGTCTATAGATGGAACTTGAAAGAGAGAAAGCTTGTTCTGACATCAACCAACCAATAATCAACCGACCAACATTTATTATTAAGCACCTACTATGTGCCAGGCACAAGTGTACATCCAACTAGGGAAAGGAAGGAGGGCTTTAGCCCTCCTTCAAACTTCTACTCATTTAAGGGAGACAGTATTGTGAAGGCTCTGGGGAATGAAGACCACCCTAGGTCACAACAGGAGGGAGGCAGTGTGGTGGCTGAAGGCGTGCTCCATTCAGGCTGGAATGACAGCTCTGTAAGTGAGTATTTGTGTGACCCTGACCAACCCACACAGCTTCTCTGCAGTTCAGTTAAATCAGGATTGAATGAAGGCATCAAAGCCTTTCTCTGTCTGCCTCTTTAGACTCTTCTCACTTCTTCTCTGGCTTTCATGACTCAAAGAGCCCAAAGAATCAGGCCCAACCATTCAAAGATTCAGCCACCAATATTACAGGGAAGCTAGCTTAGCTGTACAGGGGGTCCTAGACGGATGGACTAGAGCAGTGGGTGGGGAATCACTTGGGTGAGGTCTAGGGGGCACAAGGGAAGGTTGCTTTGAGAGACTTATTGGAAACACCCTCAGGTCACTGGAGCAGTGATGGATACACAACTCAGGCAGCTCCCAGACTGCATGTTGGGGGTCCCATTGGAAGTAGGGGGCTCTTTAGCCTGGTTTAGTGGAATAAGAACTGAGTTTGGAGTCAGAGGACCAGTTTTGAATCCTACTGTGTTACTAACTACCAGTGTGACTTTGGACATGTCATTCTACTTATTTATCAGGCTCTCAGTTCTCTCACATGTCAAAAGGGAAGATTGGAGCAGAGAGTCTCTCTGTCACTTTCAAATGCTATGGTTCTTTCAGCTCCATTGGGAATCCAGGGATAGACAAATATGGTCTACCTCAATGGCCTACCTCTCATGAGATCTAGGAAAGATCATAGGGGCAGGAAGGGACGCTGGACATCAGCTGACCTAACCTCCCTCACTTGAAATATAGGTAAACCGAGGCCCAGAGAAGCAAAGCAAGCAACAAATAGCAGAGGTGGGGTTTGAACCCAGATCTTTTGCTGAGCGTAGTATTCTATGCACTGCGCTGAACTGCCTCAACTCCTCTCTTTCCAGTTCTGGGTGATGCCAAAAACCCCTTACCCCTTTTTTCAGATTTAAATTTGACTGGAGTCTGCTGCAGGAAGTCAGGGCTTGGCCAAGATCCTCAAATTTTCTATTTTGTTTTTGACTACAAATTCTTCAGCCAAACTTTCACCCTAGGTTTGAGGATGCAAACACAAGAGATGAAAAGATGGCCTGTATTCATGTAACCAGGACAAACAGCTGTCTCAGATTGTCCTGGCATCTCTTAGGACATCGGGCCCTCTTGGAGTGGCTCTCATTTGGGAAGTAGCTTACTGACCAATGGTGGACCAACATGGCACCTTGTTTTTTCCTCAAAGCCAGCACTGGCATCATTGAGGGTAATTGAGGTGTCTGGGGAAGCAATGCCCTTGAGACAAGCAGGCTCACTTAATGTCTCTGTGCTCTCCCTCTCTGTCCACCACATTTCTGCTACCAGGCCCCAAGAGAGAAAGGGAATGGAAAGAACCGATTTTCTCCAAAATCCATCCTGACCCTTCCTTTTCTCTGTGGGTGATGTCTCTTGGTGACTGTGTAACAAGATTAGGGTGAAACAGTGGGAGGCTCTGGAATGGTGAGGAGGGACTTCCAGGAGAAAGAAGACTTTGAAAGTGAAGCCTCAGAGGAGCCTGGTGGGGAAGACTAAAGTCCTTGGCCTTGGGATGGACCCAATCCATTCTTAAATGCTGAAGTCTACAGGGCTGCTAAGGCCCCTGCTTGGTGCTTGTGAAGCATTCACACTTGAGAGATGAGAGAAAGACAGAGATAGAATGAGAGAGAGACAAAGAGACAGAAAAAGAAGGAAAGGTGAGGTAGAGAAGGAAACGGGCAAAGATAAATGCTTATTGGCATAGAGGCATGGACAGGGAGGCAAAGACAGAAAGGGACACAGGAGAGAGACGAGGAAACAAAAGAGGCAGAAAGAGAGAGAGACGGAAAGATAGATGTGGAAAGACTCAGAGGCAAAGGGACAGAGAGAGAGAGAGAGAGAGAGAGAGAGAGAGAGAGAGAGAGAGAGAGGGAGGGAGGGAGGATGAGAGAGACACAATGAAGGGCATAAAAAGGGAGGCAGAGGTAGACAAAGAAGCAGAAAGAATGAGAGAGGAAGAGACAGAGAAGGATGGACAGATATAGAGAGACTGTAGGGAAAAATGTGGGAGAAAGAGACTCAATGAGAAGGCTAGACAGATGCAAATAAGGGAAAGGAAAAGGAAGGGAAAGGAGAAGGAGGCAGGAGAGGGATGAAGAATAAATGAGAAGAAAGGGAAGATGGGAAGGGGCAGGAAGGAGGAGGTTAGGACAGGTGGCTTCATTTTGTGCCTGTATCCTAGAGCTGGCTACACCTATAGATGCCCCATACATCGCAGAGAGATATTGATTAGACAGCAACTAGACTGTAGTCTATGCTGAACTGGTAGTCTGAGGATCATTTCTGCCACTTCTGCTCCCAGAAGACAATGAGACAATGAGAATGGAAGTGGACCAAAACTGGGTAAAGAACCAGAAGAGAAACGTCTGAGGCACTGAAACCAATTCCCATCCCAGGGGAAAATCCAGCCCTCGAGCTGGGGAGGGGTGGTGGAAGGAAGCACAAATCAGTTTGATGCCAATAGTATTGACTGAAGGAAAGACAGAATTTCAAGCCACCCCAAAAAAGAAGAATGGGAGTAATAGCAAATACCCCAACAGCTCAAGAATCAGTTGATCAATCTCCACCAGGGTTGGACTATCCCTTGAAGGCAAGAAGCCATTGACCCATGGAGGAATCCAGATTATGGTACTTTTTTCCAAGAGTGGGGGTTGAGAAGAGGGTCACTAGAAAGTCTCCCAAATCCCACCTGGGGTCCCGACACCCCAGCACCTGCTCGGTCCGCTCCATGAATGTAGTCCAACCCTGATTTCCACCTGCCCTGCCTCCCAAACACTTCCCAGGAAATGTTCATGGAAGGAATCCCCAAGCACAGAGATCTCTTCCATGGTTCATTGAAGGCACCAACCGGGTTTCTGAGCCTTTTTGACAACCTCATCCATTCTAGGCTGTGAAGGATGAGGCATGGACCCTTTGCCCTCTCTCAACGGCAAGGAGGAAGCCATATTCATAGCTATGAAGGCATGCCCAGAGAGTACACTCAGCATGCACCTGTCCAGTGTGCCAGGCATCCAATGCTCAATCAGTCCAAGGGCCTTTTCTTCATCTTGTGTAACAAAGACAAAAACAAAACAAAGCGAAACAAAAAAAATCCAGCCAACATTGTTTGACCACAGCATGGGTGCCCCACAGAGCATGAGTGAAATGGGGGATCATTTCAGGGATGCTCCAAAATCACAGGCAGAACAGCTGGGTTGTCTTCTTAGCTGACACTTCTTCTGCTGTTCCTTCCCTGGGTATCAGCTTGGTAGCAGTGGGAAGGGATTTAAAGGATTACGATACATCCAAGATGAAACCTCAGCCTTTGTTTCCACCCTAATCTTATCTCATATGCCTGCAAAAATATTACTCCTTAAAGAAAACTAGATGGAAAGGGCAATGTCCTTGGTGTCCTGTCTTCCTGACTACTTCCCCCTTAGCCCAATGGCTGCAATTTAATGTCAAAGCCACAAACTCCTCCTCTAGTCTTCCAAGTTAGGTCCTATTTCTGATAGATCAATGCCCTAGTAATTGGGCAATGTCTCCTCAGAGGAATCCCTGCATGCCTTTTTGGGGGAAATGCAGGGTAAAATTATCTGCTCCTTGACTCATTTGCATATGCACTCCTTAAGAGGTGAGGGACGCCCAGCTCTGGTGTCCAATTTTCTGTTAGTCTTTATTAGTCTGCTCTGATTTTAATGAAGACCACGGTCCCAAGTACCAGCTGGCAGAGATGGAATGGAGTCACTTCAAGGGTATATGGTTTTCTACTGGACACTTAATCATTCTTTTGGAACGACACGTTTGGAGGGACAAACTTTGCCCAAGCTACAGAATTATCCATCCTGAATTCTCTTACCCTCAAAACCTTTCCAGTCTCAGCTATATTATTTTCATATTGATCCTTCTATATCCATTCTCCAAGAAAATACCTTTAGGACAGGCAAGAAAGATTAAGGTGTTATGCTAGAAAGCTGATCCACGAAGTGCTTTGTTCAACCCCAGCACCAATTCCTATCTCACCAGGTTGACAAAGGACCCTTTGTAATGAGGAAGTAAATAAGCCAATAGCTTAGAGGACTCACTGTGTCCCCCAAATGCATTTGTTACTGTCTATGGATAGAGCATCATGTCCATCAATCACATGATAACAATGTAATTCCAAATGGGATTCTTCCTGGGAAGATGCCATAACTTGAAGGCTAGTTGAACCCAAATTAGAAAGAACTGGGGGGAGGTATGATTGGGAATAGAGGAATGTTAAGTGCTACCAACCTGGTTTAGAGAGCGGCATGACCCGAGGGAAATGGCGTCTTGATGGTCGTAGAGGGCTGTGGACAAAGAAGAGAGTCGTGTGACTAAAACCACCATCTTGAGACTTGAAAGAAAACTTTAGATATTGGCACCTGATCAGAACTTCTGCTTAAATACCTCTAATGACAGGGAATCACAGAATCATTGAATTTGAGAGTTGGAAAGGACCTCGTTGACCCTCTAGCCTAACCAAAGGACTCATCATTATGACACAGCCAAGAAGTGGCCATTGAGACTAAGCTAGGGTCCTGACATCCCTGCACCTAGATAGCCTGAGTGTTCATGGAGTCTAGCCCTGAATTCCACGTCCCTTGCTTCTGCAATGACCTATTCCTCAGGATTCCTCACAAAGACGCCCAGGGAGGAATACCCCACTACCTCCCAAGTCAGCCTGGGCCAGCTTGGGACGGCTCTCATCGAGAGGATGTGTTTCCTGGCATCGAGCCCAAACTGGCCTTTTGAAGCTTTTGCACTTTGCTCCCAGCTCTGTTCTTGGGAGAGCTCACTATCACTAATAATCAGGACTCAATAACTGGTTTAATGATGAATTTTACTGTCTGCTGCCTCCTAACATTAAGAGCATTGCTTGGATTGCTTCAATCTGAGAATTATGGAACAATTCCATTTATTTTCTTCTCTTCAAATCTTTCCTCAAACATGTTTCTTTTAGAAATTCAATTTGGTTTAATCCAAATCATTTCAATGAACAATATAAGATACACTATATTAGGTACTGGGGATAGAAAGGCAAAAATGATACAATCTCTGCTCTCAAGGTGTGTGTTCATGTGTGTGTGCATGTGCAAGCACATGAAAGAGTGTATGTGTAAGTATGTGTATGTGTGACACATGGTGTAGCTTGTGTTTGTGTGTGTGTTCACGAAGGCAACAGACAACATCAAGTTCAAAGAACATCTAATAGACCAGTTTGACTACAATGTGTAGAGCACATTGGGGAATAATATGGAAAAAGGTTGGGGAAGATGGTGGGAGCCATGGTTCTAAGGGCTTTCAATGCCAAACCGAGGAGCTTATCCCAGAGACAACAGGAAGCCACTGACAGTTTTTGAGTAGGAGAGGCACATGGTCAGATCTGTCTTCTAGGAATGCCACATCCTCCTTTCCTTGGGCGGGGGGTCATTTGTAAAATATTTGTAAAATGAATCAGATGAGATGATCTCTGAGGTCCATCTTAGATGGTCAGTAGACCTGGGAGCCTGAAGCCCTCAGGGGAAAAAAGCATCTTGTTGCATCCTTTCTATCTCTAGACTAAATTACATAAATTACATATAATTTAATTACATATAAATTACATCTCTGCCTCTCCTCTTTCTGTCTATGTTTTTGTCTCTCTCTATGTCTCTCTGTGCCTTTCTTTTTCCTTCTTTTCTTTCCCCTTTCTCCCTCCTCTCTCTCATCAAGCCAAGTCAAGTCAACCCAAGTTAACAATCATTAAAAAACCCCTGCATCCATTGTTTACATCTATTCTGCACCACAGCTAATTCAGAATTTGCCCTCAAGTACAATGATCTCCATGTACTTTGAGTCATCTTAGTTCTACCCCACAGTCACTTTAGGCCAACTTGCCACAGTGGCCAAGATCTGGTTCTTTAATGATGAAAATTCATGAAGCATAAAAATATCAAGGAGTGCCCAGGTAAGGGAGTCTATTAGAAGGAAGGTGAGGATGAGGACTCAAGTGGCCATGAAGAGAAAAGATGCTGGTCAGCAAATTTGCATGGACTCATCGAAGGATTACCCTAGAGAGGTGCTCAGCGAGGAAGGTGAGGCATCCGTGGTACTTAGATCATCTAGGACAGGGGCTGTGATAGCTGGCCAGGCTTCTCATCCTGCTCAGTCTCTTTTCTGGAAAGTTGACTGCTAATTTTAAAAAAGGGGGAGGGGAGAACTGATTCTCTTGTCAAGTGACACACTGAAATGCCAGCCCTGGGCAGCAGTTAGTGGAGCACAGATGGAAGGATATTTCTAGGCAAAGATATTCTCCAAGAAAAGCTTATTTCTGGTCTGACATGAGAACAGAGCAGAGCAAGAATAACCTGCCAAAACTTTAAAGAAATTCGTGGGACTCTAGCTAATTCTATAGAAATCCCAGGCACAGGATTGCATCCCTTTGGCTTTTTTTGCAGCTAAAATGGCACCACAGCCGGCACCTAATAAGTGTTTCTTAAATTGGCTTAAATGGGAAAATGAAGATCTCGACTCTTGGTCTTCTTCCCCAAGCATCTGACCCAATCTGCAAATGCCTCCTCTTAGATTCACAGCATTTCTGAGTTAGAGGGGACTCCAGGAACCAATGACTCCAATTCACCCCTGAAAAAGAACCCCACAATGTCCTCATCAAGGAGCCATCACGCCTCAACTTGAAGACTGAGGAGGCGCTCACTGTCTCCCAGGGTAGCCCAGCCCGCTCATGGACAGCTCGCTTTGGTACAATATTTTTCCTAACATCGCAGTCTCCACCCATTATTCCTAGTTCTTCCCTCTGGGGCCAAACTGAATAGGTCTGATCCCTCCTCCAGTTCTCTCGCCCCTTCTGAGTCTCCTTTCCTCCAGGCTCAACAGCCACAGCTCCTTTAACTGTGTCTCACGATGTTCGATCAAGATTCTTTGGCATTTTGGTTGATAGGTCCAAGGCAGGCTTACCTGAGAACATCCTTGCACAGAGGTGGGAAAGGATGCTGTTGGTAGTGGCCGAAGACCTCAAATACAATCGGCTGACTCTTGATGTATTCGACAAAGGACTTGGTCACCTCAACTGCAATCTGGGATGAGGGTGGAGGGAGGAGAAAGGCCACAGCATGGTTAAAGACAGAAGGCCAAGAGTCACCTAAGCCATTGAGTCCGTAGAATAGCGGTTGGGTTATCCAGTTTGGAAACTAATGCTATCCCCCTTGTCTTGTCTCTAATGTTGACCTCTGTGACCTCACATGAACAAGAGGTCAATAAGGAAGAGATGACAGTGTTCTCCTAGGAAAGCCATAGAGCAACAGAGGCAGGGACCAAATCCCACTTAACCCTCTGCTCACATGGCTCAGCTCTTACATGCACAGACCAGCAGCCTGCAGGCAGGTACCCTTAGTTATGCTCTGGGGCATTTCTTAGGAGGGTGTTACAAATGCCCACAATGCCTGAGTGAGTCATATTAATACCCTTACTACTAGTGATTGGAAGTGATGGTGGTGAGGATGGTGATAACAACTGACCTTTCTGTATAAAGTACTCAGCAAATGTGATCACATTTGGGCCTCACCACGCTAGGTGGCACATACTACTGGTCTTATATTTATTTTACAGATGAAGAAACAGGCTCAGACTTGCCCATAGTTACCCAGTTTGTAAGGATCAGAGGAAAGGTTTGGAATTACAGATTTTTTTTCCCTTCTCTATACAAATCATTCTTTCTCCCTTTTTTTCCCCCTATGCAATGGGGTTAAGTGACTTGCCCAGGGTCACACAGCTAGTAAGTGTAATGTGTCTGAATTCAGATTTGAACTCAGGTCCTCCTGACTCTACTGTACAACCTAGCTGCCCCTTCCTATTTTCTTAATACATCAAGTCTCCTTTACAAGAATTCACATTTTCAGAAACAATTACCTACAGTTATGGATGCTCAAGGCCTAGGAAGACATAATAGTATCATTAAATATAGGGTGCAATAGAGGCAGCTAGGTGGTGCAGTGGGTAGAGCTCTGGTCTTGGAATCAAGAAGACTTGAGTTTCAACCTTGCCTCAGATAGTAACTGCACAACTCTAAGCAAGTCACTTAACCTCTCTCTGCCTCAGTTTCCTCATCTGTAAAATAGGGATAATATCACCTCCTTCCCAGGATCACAGCAATGAGAAAATATTTGTAAAGCATTATGCAAACCTTATAGCACCACGTAAATACCAGCTATTATTTTTATTAGCTATTATTGGCTGAAGGAAGCGGGACATAGGGAGATGTGATCACTCCTTTGTTGAACCTGGGCTTATGGAGACGAGAACTCAGTGTGGTACAGGAGGCTGAAGGTGTGTAGTCATTGTGAGGCCCCAGCCTCACGTGCCCAAACAAGAATCAGTTGCTAAGATAAGAGCGATGGCCTACATTCTGGACGTGGTAGAACCCCAGAGGCGGCCCTCGTCCTGTATTCTTCAATGGCTCTGTGGAAAAGGCCTCGTCATGACGGTGGATGAAGCTGCAAAACAAGAGGAGATGATCTGCGGTTACAAAGTGTTTTCTTCATGACAACCTGACAATGAGGGTCCTGCAGGACCACGCCCACCGTGGTCAGTCACGCAGCCACTAAGCATGTGAGCCACGATTTGGATGCGATTCAACCCAGCCCGATGTTTTGTTTTTCTTCAAATGTACCATTCTTCCTCCACTGTTTTTTTTTTTTTAAGATTCCATTGGCCTACTGTGCATTGACTTAAACTAAAAATGGATCCAATTAAATGGAAATGACAGACATCACTTGTTGAACAGGTTTGGAAAATCTGGGTTTGAATGACCAAGGAAGGGTGATTTCATTTTATTTTTCTCTACAGGTGGTGAAACCTCATGGCAGAAACTTGGGCTTTTTCTTCCCATGAATCAGCCAATCAACAAGTTTTTATTAAGCACCTACTATGTGCTAGGTACTGTGTTAGGTGCTGGGGATATGATTGCAAAGAATAAAATAATTTCTTGAAAGAAGCTGACATTCTAATGGGGAAAGGCAATAAGTGCGTTATGAAAATATACAGCACAAATATAAAGTCAGTAAATACGGACAGAAATGCATCTATGAGTGCACACACACACACACAGAGTTGCCAGGGAGAAGGGAAGTTCACTATTGGAGAATTCTCAATTACAGTGCCTGAACTCCAGTACTCTGCGAGGTAGAGATAAAGAAGGATCGTTCCAGGCACGAGAGATGGCCAGCGCAAAGGCATGCAGAGGGAAGAAGAGGAGTTGCATGTGAGGAGGAAGAGAGGCAACACTCCTTGTCGAATTCTCCTACACACAAGACTCAGATTCTTGGCTCAGTGATGGAAAGAAAATATCAACAGCAGCAGCAGAGAAACTAAGAGAGAGAGACACAGTCATGGAAAGCACCATAGAAATGCAGATTTGGGGCGAGGAGTAACCCTTAGAGGCCATCAGCTTTTTCATTTTATAAGTGAGGAAACTGAGGCACAGAGAAGTTAAATGATCTGTCCAAGTGTTTGAGTTCACATTCTGGACTCCACATTCAATGCCCTATCTGCAATGCCGTGTGACTGCTAAAGAATGAGGAGGACAGAGGGAGAATTGATGGGAGGACTCACTTGAACTGGCAGAAGATGTCGGCATACTCTGCAGAGATGCTGGATGCCTGGAGCACTGTCACCCGGAAGGTGAAGATGCTGCCCAGCTTCAAATGGTCCAGGGCAGATTCCAAGGGGCCATCCATGACACTCTTCTCAGGGCTGTCCAGTAGCAGGTCTTCTGGAGTCACTGTGTGGTGAAAAGTCACATGGAACAAGGGCGCACTATTTCCTGGAATGGTCTCGTATCTGCTACCTGGTACACGACCCTCCATCTCCTGCCTCGTGACTCAGCATAAGCCCGTTCCCCCACGCACAGGCTGCCCTTTCTCCTCGACTCTGCCTCTCAGAATCCCTACCTGTCTTCGGGTCTCAGCTCCAGAGCCATTGCCTAGAGGTGACCTTTTCTGGTCTCTCCAGTAGTGAGTGCTTCCTAAAATCCCTCTGTGGGTTTACATTGGCTCATCTGGGCACGTGTTGTTTCTATCTTGATAGAACATAAGCTCTTTGAAAGAAATGACTCACTTTTGTCTATGTAACCCCAGTGCCTAGCACAGTGCTTGGCATACAGGAGGTACTGAATAAATGCTTTTTGGATTGAATTCCACAGGTTTCTCAATGACATTTCCAGATCTGAACTTTGGAGAAGGGAAGATTCCTCGCTTCTTTCGCAGAATCCCTTCCTTTGGGCAAAGTAAAGGCTAGAAGTGGGGTAAGTGCTCCTTCCTTTAATCTGATGGCATCGGGGAGGAGCTAACACGGGCTGACCCATATTCCTAGGGAGGAGCCGTGGCACCGCCACAGTGGGGCTCACCACAGCCGGAGTACTGAGGCAGGAAGAGATCACTGAGGCATCACCGGGGAGCTAGCGATAAGCCCTCCTTGGGCTGCAGGGGTAGAGTGAGCCAGCGTATGCAGAGAGAGGGAAGGCACCTGATGGGGCTCTTAGTTAATGCCACCATGCTTTGAGATCCCTGGGTACTTCCCCTTCCCCATTCTTGGGAACTACCTTGTCTCCCGGGGAGCCCTGAGGGCAGGAATCATCTTTGAGCTTTCTTTGTGTCCCTCATGCCTGGCACAGTGCTGTGCACATAGTATTCTCTCAGTCAATGTTATTGACTATTGACTATTGATACTCTGGACTCTCGTGGATCTCCCCTCACTGCTGCTCGGTCGCCCTATCTCTGACTTTGTAACTTCCCGGGGGACCAGGGTACCCCACCGCACCCTGAACCCTGCCTCTACCTGCACAGGTGTTATTGTTAACTTCATCGGCAGAGGGTCCGATTTCAGCGACCTGCCCCTGTCCCTCGACAATGCGCAACTCTTCCTGTGAGGTGCCAGAACGAGACATCCCCACCACCGGACAGGACTCAGACTGGAACTGGAAGAGACCAACACAAGGCCAGCAGTCATGATGACCACAGTGACGAGAGAGGGGGGCCCTGGCCGATGGAACCCCGGGCCTGGAGTCAGGAGGACCCGCGCCTCTCTCAGACTCAATTTTCTCATCTGTAAAACGAGAAAGTTGAATGGCCTCAATGGACCCTATGTGGCCCTCCCGCTCTATGTCGATGGTCCCTATGACAGAGTGCTTCGCACATGACTCCTTTGATCCCCACAACGATCCTGAGGGCTATTATCACCCCATTCTACAGATGAAGAAACTGAGGCTTAGGTAGTAAGTGTTGGAATTACAAGTGGGATCCAAGCCCAGTTCTTTCCGACTCCATCATCTCAGGCTGCTCCTCACAGTCCGTGCGTCTCCACAAGGGCATGCCTGTTGTCCACGAGCAGAAAACGCTTTCAGCTCTGTTCTACTGGCCTGCCTCCACCTCATGTCCTCCCTGCACAGGCACCCATGGGCGCCCTTAGCCAATGTCTTCATCCACCTCTAGGGTAGGAGGCAGAAGGCTGTAGTGGAAACAACCCTGGCTCGGGAACTGGTCCCAAACTGGTTCCCAAGTTACTTCATGAACTGGGGCAACTTTCTCTGTGACCCAGCCATGGACCTCCGGACCTGACTCGAGCAGACTGGGCTCTTAGTGGGGGAGGCCCCTGGCTGCAGGCTCACCAGCGTGTCTGGGCCAAGTCCTAGGTAGGCTTGGGGATTTTCACTGCAGAGGGGAGCTGTGGCTTTAAGGCTGGAGGTGAGACAGGGAGGGCATCTCTGGGCTCAGAGCAGGCAGCAACGAGAGAAGTTTTTAATAAATGAGGAGGTATGAGGACCGTTGGCAGAGCCTCCTTTCTCTGGATAACCTTGAAAGTCTCTAGGGATATGCCTATCAACTCAGTCATTGCCTCAAAGGTCAGGAGAGGGGACAAGTGCAGGACTCAGAGGAATGTGCATGTGTGGGCATTGTGTGTGCGCATGGTGGTGCACAAGCATGACCATGGACAGGCTAGAGAGCCTGAGGTCTTGTAGCTGGGGCTCATCTGGCAAAGGCAGGCTGCCCAGGATTGCTGTCATCTCCAGTGTGGTGACCCTTGTCCTCTGGTCTTCACCCCTTTGGACCTCCCCTCCCACCATCTGAGCCATCTGGTATAGTGGAAGGAGCCCTGGCTCTCAGGTTAGAACTAGGTTCAAATTCCATCTCTGATGTTTATTCCCCATGTGACCTTCCCCTCCCTGGGCCTCAGTTTCCTCAACTGTAAAATGAGGGGTTTGAACTAAATGGCCTCAGAGGCCCCTTCCTGAATGAGATCTAGGATTTTTAAGCTTCCCTCACATGCTAACATTTTAGGATTCTTTAAAATACCTTTCACTTTTACAAGTTATTCTGAAGTCAATATCAATCCCTTCTGTTCCAATAAGTCTTTAGAGTTGCCAAAGCAACTCAGGAGACCACAGATTTAGAGCTAGAAAGGGCCTGGGAGATCATCTGATCCAAATCTCCATTTTAGAGAGGTGAGTGACCTGCCCAAAGTCACACAGTCATCGAGTGGCAGAGCTAGGATTGGAACCCGGCTCCTTCAGTTCCAAATTCAGCCTTCGTTCCACTGTTCAGGTTACTAACAACAACCCCACAACATAGACAGTGTGGGTCAATCCTCAACCAAGTATGAGCCAACATGCACATGTCCTCCACTGTGCTGGATATCAGAGGAGGGGAAGGAAGGCAGATACAAGAAATCATAACAAATAGCTGGTACTTATTATACATTATTATAATATTATATCATTATAACATTGGTGTATTGCAACATTATAAATATTATTAATAGCTAACACTTGCCACTTATATATGATAATATTATAATGTATTATTGTAGTATAAATCTTAATATTAATAGCTCATACTTATATAGTGCTTTTAGCCTTTTAAAGGGATATATAAGTGTGTGTGTGTGTGTGTGTGTGTGTGTGTCTATGCCTATATTATGTTGTGGTTGTCGCTCTGAACAGACTACAATACACGTAAAAACAAGAGTGAATGATAAGAGCCCATGTAGCTTAAGGTTGGGTGGCACAGATTCTGTGAACTGTAGGAGAATGGATGTGGGAGAGCTTGGTGCCAGCTCCAGGAGAAGGTGGGAGTTGGGTTGGACCCCAGAGATCATCTGGGCTTCAGAGGAGAAGGAGAAGCAGCTGAGCAGCCTGGAGTAGAGTTCATGGATCAATGGGCAGAAGACTGGTCTCCCAATAGTGGAGGGTGTGTTACTATGAGTGATGAGAAATGAAGCTGGGGAGGTAAGATGCTGTAAAATACTCATGTTGGGCTAAGTGTCATGCAGTTAGTACCTTTTCGAAATGCTGATCATCAAAGGAGATCTTGGCTGTTCCTGACTGCCGGACACCGGAGCCATAGTCTGGGGCTTCTTCGTCCGCTGAAAGCAGAAAGAACACAGTGGCCACGGCCATGTTAGCAGAACCCAAGGAGGGATGGATAGAGTCAGGGTTAGCTTGTTATAGGAGCAGAAACAACTCAGAGGGTTCAAGGGATGCTCAGAAGGATCCGGGTCTTTCTTGAAGCCCATTTTCCATGGACCAATGTCTGTTCACTTGCAGAAAGCAGATGTACAAACTGCCTTCCAAAAGCTGAGCTCTTTTTCAAGTAAAAGTGGTTAAAATGAAGGTCAGTCAGATGCAACGAAAAGTGGTTAAAATGAAGATCAATCAGAGCTGTTTGAGAGGCAAGACAATTGAACTGTGGGGACGGGAAGGAAGCAGCCTGTGTCCCACTCTGAGATTTCCTGCAGGTTGAAGACAGAACCAGAGAGCCAGAGTGTTTGTCACAGGCTGTCCCATTCCAGGCTGATGTTTGCTCTAGGTTGGCCCGTTAGACTGTGGGAAAAGAGCTGACTGCTGGGAGGACGCTCTCTGAGAGTGACAGATTTCTGAAACCGGACTGCTGTGATTAACGGAGGTCTCACCTGGTCCTCTCCCTCTCCCTTCTTGGGTAAAGGGGCTTCATCTACATGAAAGACAGACACGTATGTACATCCAGCTTCCATGTGGAACAGTCATCGGGGAAGCTTGTATCCATTGACTCATCTAGGTCCCTTTTCCTAAGCCTCTTTACCCTTAGGATGTTATTTTTAAGGAAGTCTCAGTATCTTAGGGAAGCGGGAATTTCTGCCTTGCAACAGAAGTGGAAAACCTACGCCCTGCACTGTGGTCTGCTTCTTCATCCTGTGGTTGCTGGTGCCCCTTCCCCATAGAAAACCCAGGAAGGTCTGGGATACATTTTGCAGTATTTAATCACAGCACTTGAGTTAGTTAAGAGCGAGGGGCAGAGTGGATTCTAGGAGGTGACACAAACACTCTTTTTAATTCTTCTAACATTTCTCTGTCGTAGGGAGCCGTACAAAGGACAGTGATCTTAAGTCCGGAAGATCCGGGTTTGAGTTCCTACCCTGTGATCATGGGCAAAACACTCACCTTGTTCACACCTCAGTTTCCACCTCTGTAAGGAGGGGTAACAATGACTCCCTTGTGATGTGGTGACCGACGCTTTCATAGAATTTTATGGTAAAAAGGGCTTTACATCCATGGTGTCATTCAAGCCCACAATCGCCCTGTCACAAAGGCAGCACAAACATTATCCCCATTTGCCAGATCAGGAAGCTGAAGTGTAAAGAGATGATGAAATTTCTAGCCTTTAAGGCTTGCAAAGGGCTTTCCGTACATTTCTCATTTAAGCTCCACAGAGGCCCTGGGTGTGATGGAGGTATGGCTCTCTTTGCTATACACATGAGGATGTGGAGGTTTGCCAACATCATCTGCTACAAAATGTCAGAGGTCAGTCTTCCTGCCTCAGTCCAGCACACTAGCCTCCACCACACTTTATTGCCACCTCCCTCACGAAGGAGGAAAATGCAAATTTGGTTCAACATAAGAAGGGATTTTCTACTATTGAGATCTGCCTTCAACATGGTGAGCTCCCCGTTTCTTGGAAGTGTTCAGACAGATTGGATGATCACATGCTACGTATGGCCAACCGGGGAATTGCTGGGTTGGGTAAGAGGTTGGGCAGAGTGAGCTCTGAGCTCCCATCCGGCTCTAAAGAGGTGATTCTGGCCCAGAGGTAGCCCCACGGGCAGATCAAGGTTGAGGCTAATGACCCATGCCAACTAATGTCCAGCAGAGAAAAACAATGAGTGATTTCATAAGCCATCCTTCTATTTATAATCCTGTTCCAAAAGGTTGAATGTTATTTTAAGTCACAACTTTGTGTGTTATCAGTTATCGGAGGTGTTTCCAAATGCAAGTGTTGACTGAACCAACTCCCAGGGGAGACTCTAACATACAAACAAGCTGGTGAAACACAAACAAAAGTCCACGAGTGGTCAATGAGCCCTGTAAATAATGCCTCTCTGTTAGGTAAACAAACAGTTGGGTTTGCATTTGTTTTCCTGGGGATCCCACCCAACATGGAACACTGAGCCAAAAGCTAAGTAGGAGGCTCTTTTACTGGATGTAGGGGTCCCTTGGAACAAAGACCAAAGGGGCATGGAGCAGAGAAAAAAAACCCCATGGTGGGGAGGTGGATAGGAGCCCCAGGAGAAAGCCTGCAAGTCTGATGGCACTTAGATAATCTTCAATAACCTCGTGCCTCCTATGGAGGGCTGACTGGGGATCAGAGGGATTTTTGTGTTCCAGTGAAGACAAAGGTCAGCCTGCAGTGGGTCTCCAGGCTGTTTTCTGTTCATAGGATAACAGATTCAGAGCTGGAAGGGACCTAGTCCAACCCCCTCATTTTACAGATGAGGAAACTGAGGACAAGAGGTTTAGTGATTTGCTCAAGCTCCCACATTAATAAATAGTCTGACCAGCTGCTATAACTTTTCCCTAAGGGTTATCTTCCATCTAATCTGAATGTATCTTGTATATATCTATTTATTTACATGTTTTCACTCCCCTCCTTCATTCGGGTATAGGCTCCTTGAGGATGGGAGCTGTTCTTGCCTTTCTTTGTATCTCTATCACTTAGCACAATATCTGGCACTAACTGACCGAGCACAAGTATGTCGTAGCAGATCAGCTTCTGGACTTGGAGTCTGGAGACCTGCGTTGGAATCTTGCCTCCAACCCTTACTAGTCGTGTGGCCAGGGGCACGTCTGTTCTTTCTATGCCTTGGTCTTGGAAGTGACATTACCTAGAGTATCCAACTCCCAGGGTACTGTTTGTCCAGTGCTTTGTAAAGCTTCATGAGCTATTGGAACACCAGTCATTATTGTAATGGGTCACAAGGGGAGCTGGAGAGAGAATGGAGAGGGCTCAGGACAAAGCCATCATTAGTCACTCTGGAACCAAGACCCCAGTGGGCAAATGGGAAGTGCTTGCTGATGGTGTGCCCCTGATGTCATCTTCTCATACAAAGGAATGGATTCAATAATAGTGAAGTGTTTGAAGGATTTGGGGCACAGTCTTTGTTTGCTCTCCCTGCCCCACATGGACCATGGCCCTTCTATTGCTTAGCAGACTTTCTTAAAGAGACTCTGTGCCCAAAACTTCTATCATCCTGAAACCAAACTAGTTAACAAGCATCCCAGAGATGAGCTGGAGGTTCTGACTCAATTTGCTCCATGCCATAACTAAGGTGGGGCAACCAGGGCTTTGTCCAGGATGTGGACATCCAGAGGACACTAAAAATGAGCACGTGCACTCCTTTAGTAAGGAGCACGGTATTAACCAATTCCCTCTGGCTTTTGTCTCACTTGATTTCTAGAATCAGCACGGCATAGTGAGGAGAGTGGTGGGCCAGGAATCAGGGGCGCCACGTGTCTGACACATTAGCTGGGCGACCACGGACAGATCTCTTAGCCTCAGGCAATTCCTTAGGATTTGTCTGCTAAGTCTCCAAATGGGCTCTACTCTCCATTGGTGGAGGAAGTCCCTCACACCAGCAATCTCTGACCCCGCTGAAGCCCCAGATCATTGTTGTCTTCCTGGTATCACATTTGTGTTAAAAGTCATGATTCCTGTGTGCACCTGGAGCAGCTTCTCCAGGGTGTCTTAGCACTACTGTCTCTTTTCCTTGGGATCTTAGTTGATCTGTGTGCCAGGCTGACATTTATTTGTAGCCAGAGTCTTTGGAAGCACAGGGTCACCAGGGAAGTTGGAGACTTTCATAGAGAAGATAGATCACAACCTTGTGTGTCAGTGGAGATGCAGATCTGCTATGTGATTCTGCCTTCCCCCCACCCCCAGTTCATTCATTCATTCATCCATCCATTATTCATTCATCCATCCATCCATCCATCCATCCATCCATCCATCCATCCATCCAACCAGCATTTACGAAGTGCTTCCTACATACCACAGACTTTGCTAGGCTTTTTTCAGATGGCTGCCTCACTTTGGAATTGTGTGATATTTTAGCTATTGTCCAGGGCCGGGGTCACTGAAGATCCCTTTTAAAAAAATCCCAAACACCCTATTTTGCTGGGAGGGCCCATTTTAGAAAGAGCAGGCTAGAGTTTTGTCTGTGCCTGAGGATAATGCCAAGTCCTATTTTTGGTCTCCTTCTGTTCTCTTATCAGGGTGTGTTTTTCCCAGACAGCTGGATCCCTCCTTAATCATCTAGACCAAGTTAGAGGGCTTTATATCTATTTATGAGCTAATTATGGTAGTTAATCTTATATAATTCATCTATTAATATGTAGAGCATGTCTCTGGTGCCAAACCTCGCACTATAGTCTTTGGAACCTGCTGACTCATAAGCTTGAAAAAAAGCCATTAGAAATTACAAAGTGATCATTTGATAATAGGGACCAACAAATTTTAATTGAAGCCCATTAAACTGGCGGGGATTTGAGGGGGGTGGTTTTTTCCTCTCAGGATGCTTTACTCTTATTAAAACTGCGCAAATTTTAACTCACTCTTCTGGGATGCTTAGGATGTCTGTGCCGATGCCCTGGCCCTACCTCCAAGCAGATTTTAAGTGAAGGACAAGTTAAGCTTCTAGTGTCCTGAGGGGAAGCACTTTGTAAACCATGCCAGTGAGACTCCACAGAATCTGCCCCGTCCACAAGCTTTGCATTTCTTCACTCATACTAGCTTGTCTAAGGCTCTCGCTCTCATCTATTGGAGGAAATCTTTCCGCATCGACTAGACTCCTCCCTCTCAAACAACCTTGCATTCAATGACTTTGAAACATCTATTGGGGCATCTAGGGAATGCCACAGGCTATAGCGTGCTGGATCTGGAGTCAGGAAGACCTGAGTTCAAATGTGACATCAGACCAGCTATATGACCCTGGGCAAGTCACTTAACCTCTATTTGCCTCAGTTCCCTCATCTGTAAAAGAGGGAATAATGATAGCGTCTACCTCCCAGGGTGGCTGAGAGGATCAAATGGGATATTTAGTAAAGAGTTTGCAAACCTCAAAGCACTAGCAATTCTGATGGATTTGTATTCATGCACTTCATATTTGTACTGCATATGCTTTTATTTGAGCTTCTCTCCCCCATTAGAATGTAAGTTCTTTGCAGATAGGATTTGTTTTATTCTTCCTACCGTCACCTAGTAGAGTGCCTTGTATACAGTAGGTGCTTAATCAGTACTTGCTGATTTATGGATTGATTTTGGTCTTTGGAGTCATAGAACTTAGCGCAATTCCAGGCTCATAGTAGGTGTCAAATAAATTCTTGTGGATTGATTGATAAAGCCCAGGAAGACCTATGCCTCTGTGTGTATCCAATGACCCCTACAGGGGCTGAAGAAAAACAGGACATCAGGGACCGTCTAGACTAAGAAACTGAGGCCCAGAGAGGGGAAGAGGCTTGTCTGAAGTCATGCAGGCAGCAAGTGTCAGAGATGGAATTCATAGCCTCTTCCATCTCGGGAAAAACCAAGCACTACGTGTGGTACCTAAAAGACACTTGATAAATGCTTGTTGAATGAATGAATGATGAGTAAATAAATAAATGAGTAAATGGGTAAATCACTGAATGAAAAACTAATGAATGAATGGATGAACGAATCAATGAATAAAATTTAGTGAATGGGTGAATTAATGAATGAAAAATGAATGAATGGATGGATGATGAGAATGGATGGACGGATGGATGGATGAGAATAAATGAAGTGGGAGAAAAGTCCAGCTCTCGTATCAGGATCAGTGTTTTACGGAGCTATGTTAGCATTATGTTTCACAGTCTCATCTAACGCCTGTTTTATTGCTCTGTAGAGGTGCTCCTGGTGTGCCAGGCCCTCTGACTCTCCCACCGAATCCTGTTGCCCACATGGGGAAATGTCTTTTTTCCCAGAGGAGCCTCTCAGAAGACCAGAGCTTTCCCTGCACGCAGGTCAGGAGCTTCCCAGGGCACAGGTAGGCCCATCCAGGCCAGAGGGCTCCTGGGGTCACCTACCTGAGATGGCCTGCACAGCCACACGCAGAAAGCCCTTCACTTCGCCCTTCTCGCTGACGATAGCCACACGGTGGACCAGGGGCACAGGGTAGAGCAGGTTGCTGAGGTACACGAAGGCCCTGAGGGAGAGGCAGAGAAGAGTGGTCACTGTGCCCGCTGCTCCCCCTGGGGTTGCCAGGCACACGGCAGGCTGATGGGCAGTTGGCATCATCACAGCTCACCGCTCACACCACAACAGCGCTGCAAAGCAAAATGGAAGCAAGACAGCCAAGGCCAGCCGGAGGAGGAGGAGGAGGATGAAGATGAGGATGAGGATGGGCATGAGGAGGCAGAGGGCAAGTGAGGGAGGGGCTGAGCCGTGCGTGCTTAAGGTGGAAAGGTCGGGCTACAGTCAGGTTCCAGGAAGTCGGGTCAGTGGAGTGAACTTGAACTTGGCAGTGACTGAGTGACCCCTCCCCACGCCCCAAGGTAGTACCTTTCAGTCTTTCATCTCCCCCAGGCAGGGGGAGGGAAGGGAATTGTTATCTGGAAGCTAGAAAAAGGGCTTCTGGCCATAGAGAGTTGGAGAACTAGTCAGTAAAAGGTGGTGAGGCGGCTGCTATAGATGAGATCCAGAGGGGAAAGGAGGGACACGGTAGAAGGTCTGGGACAGGCTGCAGAGGAGGAGACAGGAGAGCTGAAGGAGAGTGGGCAGAGAAAGAAAGAAGGGAAAGAAGCCGTGAAGTCACAGCCCAGAGCCGCCTACCTCCTGAAGGAAGGAGCAGAGACCTGTTCACAGTCTGAGAAAGAAAAGGGATTTGAAGTGGACCTTTCAGCCTGCAGCAAGAGGTGCCCTGGACCTTGTAGCTGGGGATGAAAGGAGTCTGGGGGAAGGAAGGGGCTCGGAGGGGTGACAGGTGCCCTTCTACATGGAGGCCCTATGCCTGCGCCCGCTGGTAGCAGCTTTTCTCCTAAGCTGTTGCTGGCATCCTTCCTGGCTCTCTGCTGCCTCCCAACCTAGGGCTTGGAGTCTACACCTCTAAGCATCTTGGCTGGAATGCCAGATGCCCATGGATTAAAATAACCCCAGTTCTTGAAAGGAGGAAGGAAGAAAAGAACACACTCAATTTCTGCTCTCTCCCGGTCTGCTTGGGTGCAGGCGTGGATTCTGATGAAGCTGAGGGCCCAGGCTGGGTCCTACGTTTAGCAGAGTGCTACACCTGGAGCCAGAAGGCCTGACTTAGACATTTACTAACTCTTTGAACCTGGGCAAGTTGATTAATCTCTGCTCGCCTCCATTTTCTGGACTAAAATGACAGCGTTGGATTCTGTGGCCTCTAAGATCCCTCTCAGCTCTATCTTTGATTCTATGATCTTTACTTTGTTCCATGAACACGCAGGCTGACCCCACCCTTGACTTGCCCCAGCTATCTCACAAATGCCAACCATTGGTGAGATCAGTTAAGTGGATCAGGAGGGAGAGAGAGACAGAGAGACAGAGAGAGAGACAGAGAGACAGAGACAGAGAGACAGAGTCAGAAAGACAGAGAGAGAGAGAAGAGAGAGAGAGAGAGGGAGAAAAAAAAGAAAAGGAGCTGGGAGAACAGAGACAAAGAAAAGAGGGAGAGGGGAAGAGAGAGAAGAGAAGAAAGAGAGAAAAGAGGAGAGGATGGAGAGAAGAAGAAGAAGAAGAAGAAGAAGAAGAAGAAGAAGAAAAAGAAGCACACACACACAGAGACAGAGACAGAGACAGAGAAAGGAGAGAGACAGAGGGTACATGGATCTAGGCCATCTGGCTTACTCGCTGCTCTCCTTTCCAGGACATTCTACCTCAGCCCCATGCCTTGGCACACCCGTTCCCCATAGTGGGAAAGCTTTAAGGCTCCCAGCGCTGCCTCTTGGGATCCTAATTACCCTCAAAGCACCAGGTCACTTGCCGCTTCCTCCCCAAGACCTCTCCTGATCCCCCACCTTGATTTTAGACCTTCCTTCACTCCTGCCTGCACTATTATTGTGCATTTACGTTTTATGTATCTTACATTTATGCATCTGTCTATAGTTGCTCTCTCTGCCTCGCCCTCCTGGTAGAATAAAAACTCTTTGAAGGCAGGACTGGTTTCATTTTTGTCTTCCCGTTTTCAGTGCCTAGCCTGGGGCCTGGGAGACAGCAGGCCTTTAACAAATGCTGGACATGGATGAATCAGTGCAAACCCATCCCCAGGGCTGGAAAACCCACTCTGACAAGCACATAAATGCCTTCCATTCACTGGGAAGATAGGGCGTGTCATCTTTGCAGATGAAAGACCTATCACATAGCCTAATGCAGATGGACTTTGGCCCTGACCAGCCCAGGGGGCTGCACACTCCACCCTCCTGCCTCTCCCCATGCCTCATCCCCCAACTCTGTATCATGGCTTAGACAACAGCAGACAGCCCCTACTTCACAGTGCTGGATAACCAGCTTCTTAATGCAAACACACACTGGGGGAGAGCCTGATGTGACAATGGACCTATAACTCTGCAAGAATGAGCAGATGGGAGAAAAGGAAATACATACACAGACAAATACCATAGCTCTCAAGCTGGAGGGACCTCAAAGGTCATCCCTATTTTACAGATAGGGAAACTGAGGCCCAGAAGTTAAGCGATTTATCACCAGCTCCTAGCTTGAGAGCTGGAAGGGCCATCAAGGTCATCTAATCCTCATTTTACTGAGTCCCAAAGAGGGTCATACAGGTAGAATCTGTGGTTGGATTTGAACCTAGGTCCTCTGACACCAAGGCCATGTTCTTTCAGAATATCAGATTGGGAAGTGCCAGTCTAATCCCTGCCAGACAAAGGCTCTCCTCACCAACATCCCCGGCCAGGTTTTGTCTGTCAGAAGGCCTCAGAGCAAAGGAACCCACTGGCCCTCAGAGAGGCCATCTCTTACAGAGGATGCTTTCCCTGACCTTGAGCCTCATGTCTGCCTCTGCCATTTCCACCCCATGTTGCTAGTTGTGCCTCTGGGCTGTGCAGAATAAAGCTGGCCCCTCTTTAACATGGTGGCCCTTCAATTACTAGCAGGCAAAGAACCCCAGAGAGGTTACGTATGACTTCAATTCACACTAAAGTACTAATATCAGTCATCCTTTCCCTAGAAAAGGTTCTGACTGGGGCAAAGGGGAGAGAGGAGAGCCTCAGTCATCTTCCAGAAGGGCTGCATCTCTATCATGTGGTATATGGGAAAACCAGAAAAGAAGGACTCCCTATGGGCAAATCAATCCCTTCTCTACCTCCCCACTTTTCCCCACCTTGCACCTCCCAGCAGATCTTAAACTGTTCTATGACTTGATACGTCCTAGGGCATTTCTTCAAGGGTACTTGTACAAAGAGATGGAATGACTGGTCCAGTGTCACATGACTAGCACTTGTCAGAGGGAGGATTTGCACGTGGGTCTTGTCTGATGTTCAGCATTCCTTCCACTATGCCACATGGTTCCTAACACACTATTGTGAACACAGGAATAAACATAAATGAATGCTTCCACCTATTGAAATAACTGCCTCCCTGGTGTGTCCAGAATGTCAGAGCTCAAGTGGCCATATCTGGACATACCTATGGTCCTCAGACAAGCGGCCTTCTGTGCTCTTGGCTAAAAATGCCTGTCCTTAGACGGCACAGTCTCCAGGCCCTTCGTCGTTCTGGTTGCCTTCTGGATGGTTCCAATTTAGCAACACCCTTTCCAAATTGGGGTGCTCAGAACTGAGCCAAATTCTCCAGCTGTGCTCTGCCCAGGGTAGAGGACAAAGGGATGGCCCACTTTTGACCTGCATAATTTTCAGTTGTATTCATTTATCTGGAGTTGGGAAGGACACCTACTAGCCCCCATCTTTTGTTTTCAACAAGACCTGTCATTTTATGGGGATAGGGAACTCCTCCCCAGCTGATAAAGCTCCCTCTACCCATGCAGACCAGTACCTACAGCTCTCTGGCTTCAGCCTTATGGAGATGCCTGGGGCACTGAGAGCTTAGTGCTGCCCACCATCACAGAGCCCATGGGTATCAAAGGGAGGACTGGAACTCAGGTCCTCTGGGCTCTGAGGAAAGCTCTTTCAACCTCTCTGGCTGCTGGGTTCTCACCAGAGAATGCACTGATTTCTGAGATCACAAGCCTCCATGGAAATGGAGTGAGCTCCCTCTGGAAGGACAAGGAAGGCCCTGAATTCTGTCCTTCAGCTTTACTTTTCCCCTTCTGGCCTGGGATAATAACTTGCTGAGCCCATAGGGACAAAAGCAACAAGCAATTCAGGGTGCTTGATCTTCTCCCCTCTAGTCAGGAAAATGCTTGGAGGGAGAAGAGAACTGCAGAGCCCAGACCCAGAGCCTGAGGGCAGGACTGCCTGGTGGTTAGCTCTTGGGGAGGCGGTGTGAAGCTGATCTCTCCCTCCCTGGGCCCTCTGGCTCCAAATCCAAGGTCACCTCCGGCTGCCCTCTCTCCTGGCCTCTGGGGCCCAGGAATGCAAGCAGGGCTCAGGCCAAGGCAGGGGGCTCCCGGGTGTGCAGGGGGAGTGTGACTGCCTGCTCTGTGTCTTTCCACAGCTGCGCTCCTAGGCCCCTTCCTTCCCTATGGGAGGACAGGGCTGCCTTTCTCTGGGGCCGAAGGGGCTGAAAACAGCAAATTGTTAGCTGGGACAATGTGGCGATTGACCAGCGGCAGGGACAGAACTGCCCTCTCAGGGATGTCACTTCCCATGTGGAGGCCGGGCCCTGGACGGCCAGCGGGAGCTCTGCCTGACCAGGGGCTGCAGAGATTCAGTTATGAGAAATGAGCATCCTTCCTTTCCTCTCCTCACACCCTCTCCTGGGGCTTTTCCTTGGAGAGAGAGAGTTTTCCTCTCTAAAGACACAATGGCTCCGGGGCCAGAGGACTGAAGGGGGAGATCCTCTCCTTAAGGTGACCAAAAAAGCTTCATTGAGGACCTGTACAGGGCAGTGAGGACTGAGAGAAGGGCCACGTAACGTGGTCTGGGAAGGACCTGGGAGGGAAGTGAGGCCCCGAGAAGGATCCCAGGATGATCGCTGATCTGGGGTGGCAGGGCCCTTGGAGGCCTGGGGGGAGCCTGAGGGAGGACACCTCAAAGGTCCCCTTTCTAGCCA